AAAAAAAAAAAAAAAAAAAGAAGAGAGTAAACATGAGATGGAAATAAAAACAAACCAAAGTTTCTCTCCCCCACCCCATATTAATGCTTGAGAAAGAGGGGCAAAGAAACCACCTGCCCCAAATCAACTCTGACACCAAGCACTTACGGGAGATCTTCTGCAGTGGCTGACAAGAGGACCACGATTCCTAGAAGGAGCAGAGCCCACATCTTCCTGGGTGAGGCAGACTCCTCAGGGTCAGGAGCCAGAGGTCTGCTCTCAGCTGTAGCTTATATGTGAATCCTCGGGTGGATGGCGCAGCTATGACGGATGCTTTAACCAATCCCTTACTGGGCTTCAGGGAAGGTGATTGACCAGGGTAGGGCCACCATTCACTTCTTCAAAGCTGTTTCTCCCTGGAACGTTCATACTAGTTCAGCTGGTTTTGAGGAAAAGCTGAGTCTTCACCGCAGTAAAGCTCTCAGAACACATTTTGAACCCCTCCCTTTTTATCTGGCTTCAGTCCAAATTCCTATTCTCATTTGACACCCCTTTTTTTTTGGCTTTTATTATTCCGTAGAGGCATACTTGGGAACACAGGGCAGTAGTCATAGAAAGGCAGTAAGCTTGCATCTAACTGGGAAATTTTAAAAATTCAAACTAGTCAGTGTTGGTGTGGCTGTGGAAATCAAAACAGTGTTGGTGTGGCTAGAGAAAATATAATGTGGACAGCCTTTCTCAGGGCAGTTTCACAATACACAGCAAAAGCCTTTTAGGTTCGCATATCCTTTGACTCAGCAGCTCCCTCTCTGAAAATGCATTTTAATGGGCAAAAATGTCACAGCACACATGCATGCAAAAATGCAGTTATGCTGTTTCTTCAGTGTTCTTTGTAATGGCAATACTTAGAAACCCAGAATATAAGTTAGTGAGGATGCTTTCTTTCTGTAACTGATGACCAACCCACATCAACTTGGCTTAAACAAAAATGGATTTTTGAGCCAGGAATGGTGGCTCCCGCCTATAGTACCAGCGCTTTGGGAGGCTGAGGTGGGAGGATCATTTGAGACCAGCCTGGGCAACACAGCAGCCTGGCAAGACCCCATCTCTACAAAAATTTTAAAAAGTTAGCTGGGTGGTGATGCATGCCTATAGCTCTAGCTACTTGGGAGTCTAGGAGCTCGAGGCTGTTATGAGCTGTGATTATGCCACTGCACTCCCAGCCTGGGTGACAGAGGGAGAACTTGTCTCAAGAAAGGGGGGGCGGGGCAGTTTGGTAACTGGGATGGATTAGAAAGGAAGGAAGCCAGAGGAACCCCAAGACTTTTTGGCTTGGAATTAGAAGCGGGGCACAGCCAGGATTCATTCCACCCAATCTTTCTCTCTCATGCACTTGTCTCTGGTTTGCTTCCTTTTCTCCTACTGCACATGGGCTTTCCTTCAAGCAGTGGGGAAGACAGCAGTTGTGAGTCCTCAGTTCACATCCTTTCAGCACCTTGACTCCAATTGACAAAATGTTTTGCCTGATACAGAAATTGCTGAAGGATTTCGTTCCCCTCACGTACTCACCTCTGGATCAGTCATTGTGCCTGGATCCTGTGATAGGCAGGTCCTGGGTCATTCTCCCATCCGGAGGCCACACTGATGGGCCGCTGTGATTGGCAACCTCATGAGAGCCACGTGGAGCTAGGAGCGGTTTCAAAGAAACCGCTAAAATAGGAAGTGTGTTGGGGTAAAGATGATACAGAAATAAAACATTAAGTGAGGCAGGTGCAGTGACTCACATCTGTAATCCCAGCACTTTGGGCAGTGGAGGCAAGAGGATTGCCAGAGGCCGCCTGGGCAACTGGGAGAGATCTCATCTCCACAATAAATCAAAAAATTAGCCAGGCATGGTGGTGCACGCCTATGGTTCCAGCTACTTAGAAGACTGAGGTGGAAGGATTGCCTGAATCCAGCAGGTTGAGGCTACTGTAGCCATGAGCATGCCATTGCACACCAGCCTGGGCAACAGAGTGAGACTCCAACGAAAAAAAAAACAACAAAAAAAATTAAGTGTAGGGCAACCTTTTCAGGTCCCCTCCCACTGTGAGAGCTTTTCTGTCCTCTCAATAAATCCTGCTTTCTAAAAAACAAAAAAAAATTAAGTATACTGCAATGCCCAATAATATGAGTCTAGTGGAATCAACTGACATGTTAATATTAATATAAAGCAATACTATGCAGCCATTAAAAATAATGCTTTTGGTCAAGCATGGTGGTTCACACTTGAATCCCAGCACTTTGGATGACCAAGGTGGGTGAATTGCATAAGCCCAAGCGTTTGAGACCAGCCTGGGCAGCATAGCAAGACCTCATCTCTACAAATAAATTTGTAGAAGGATCAACTGAGCCCAGGAGGTTGAGGCTGTGGTGAGCCATGATTGTTCTACTGCACTCCTGCCTGGGGGTACCAAAAGAAAAAGATGTACCCAAAGAAAGAAAAAGACAACAACGCCTATCAAGATACAAACTAATCAACAGAACCAGACTCAGAGATGACTTAGATGGTAGAACTATCAGAGAGAGACTTTAAAATGGCTAAGAAGAATATATTAGAGAATTTCATAGAAAAGAAGGACAACATGCATGAACAGATGAGGAATTTCAAGAGAAATATGAAAGTGATAAAGTCTAATAGAAAGGCTAAAAATAAAAAGTACAGTAGCAGAGATGAAGAACTTCTTCTACAGACTCATTAGTCACCTTGAAACAGCTGAGAAAATAATCAATTATCTTAAAGTTAGCTAAATAGAAATTACCCAAACTGAAACATCATAAGAAAAAGGAAAAAATTGTGAACAGAGTATCACAAAAGGGTTACAGGACAATATCAAATAGTTTAGCATACATGTTATTGGAATCTTGGAGAAGAAAGAAAGAACAAGCAAAAGAAATGTGTGAGAAATGGATGAGAACTTTCCAAAAATAATGAAAAGATATAAAACAACAAATTCAAGAATCATAGAGCATCCCAAGCAGGATAGATACCAAAATAAAACACATCTAAATACATTGTATTCAAACTGCTAAAAACTAAAGAGGATACCTTAAAGATGGCCAGAGAAAACAGACACATTATGTATCAGAAAAAGTTAAAAAATTTTTTAGACTAGGTTGCCCAGGGAAAAAAAAATTATAGCAAACTTCTCATGAGGAACAATGTAAGCCAGAAGACAGTAGATTGAATCTTCAAAATACTATAAGAAGGCTGGGCTTGACCTGTAATCCCAGCACCTTGGGAGGCCGAGGTGGGAGGATTACTTAAGGCCAGGAGTTTAAGACCAAGACCAGCCTGGGCAACATAGCAAGACTTTGTCTCTTATTAGTAAAAAGAAAAAGTAACACTGAAATAAAAAATATAGAAATTGAGAATTCTGTACACAACAAAAATATCTTTTGGTAACGGGGGGAACTTTCTCAGACAAACAAAATCTCAAATAATTTATTGCCAACAGATCTATGTTACAAGTAATATTAAAGAAAGTTCTTAAGGCAGCAGATGTAAGATGAGGGTTGGCAAACTATGGCCTCTGGTCAAATTCAGCCTTCTACTCATTTTGTAAATGAAATTGTTCTGGAGCAGAGCAATACTCATCCATTTACTTATTATCCACAGCTGTTTTTGTGCTACCATGGAAGACTTGCGTGATTATAAGAGCCTGCATGGCAAAGCCTACATTATAATTACTTTTTTATTTTTTGAGTCAGGGTCTCACTTGCCCAGGCTGGAGTGCAATAGCATGATCATGGCTCAATGCAGCCTCGACCTCCTGGGCTCAGGCAATCCTCCCACCTCAGCCTCCCAAGTTAAAAGAATTTCGGCGCCAGTAATGACTCCACACCTGGCCAGGACCAAGAGATTTATTAAAGGGGGGTTGTTACAGAGAGCATCGGTAACGGAAAAAAAGAAAAAGAGAGAGAGAGAGAGAGAGAGAGTTGTGGGGAGAGGGTTGTATTTATCAGTCTCACAGGGGCAGGAAGGGGCTGTGCTATGTTCCTATTAGAGGAGCTGCATGGGAGCAGGGTGGGGCCAATGCTGTGTTATAGTCCCACTGGACGCATAACAAAGTTGGCTACGGATTGGAGCCTTGCAGGTTTGAAATTCGCGTGCGGAAAGGTTTGAAATTCGCTCCCTCGGGGAATTGGGCTCACAGAAGCCAGGACCTAGGGCCTTTGTTGTCCGGTGTGTCGGCGCCATTTGGGGAGCCGCCCCTCTGGTTGCTTCCTGCACCCTTCACAAGTACCTGGGACTACAGAAGTGTGCCACCATGCCCGATTTGTTTTTTTGTTTTTGTTTTGTTTTTTGTTTTGTAGAGATGAGGCCTCGCTACGTTGCCTAAGCTGGTCTCAAACTTCTAGGCTCAAGCAATTCTCCTGCCTCGGCCTCCCAAAGTGCTGGGATTACAGGCATGAGCCACAGTGCCTGGTCTAAAGCCGACATTATCTACCGTCTGGGTCTTTGCAGAAAATGTTTGGTGACCCCTGAAATTAGAAACCAGATAGAAACTGTACAAATTAAGGAAGATCTCTGGAAATGTCATTAAATAAAATATTTGTAAAAGAGACATTTAAAACAATGCTTAATCACTCTAAAAGATAAATGACTACCCAAAGGGGGGAAAAAAGCTCATTCTGAACCTTTATGTAGAGGTGAGACATATTTTTTGCATATCAAGAAAAAGAGAATGAAAACTGAAGAAAGAAACATTGTATAGCCTGTTTAACATAATTCCTTTGACACACTTTCCTTCTCTCCTATTTGGGAATGTTCTCTAAATTTCATTCCTCTTCTTCCCTTTGTAAATTGTCCGAAGCTCATCGCTACAAATCTCTGCATCTCTCAACTTTCTAAAATCCCAGTAAAGACACCTCTGTGTTCTTCAGCCGTGAATCTTCCTTCACCCTGGGTCTTTGGTTCTAGTAGATAAGATCTGCTAGGCCGAGCTTGGTGGCTCAGCCTGTAATCCCAGCACTTTGGGGGTCTGAGGCAAGTGGATTGCCTGAGCACGCAGATTCGAGACCAGCCCGGGCAACTTGGTGAGCCCTCATGTCTGCAATAAATAAAAAAATTAACTGAGTGCAGTAGCGTGCATCTGTAGTTTCGACTTCTTGGAAGGCTGAGGCCGAAGGATCGCAGGAGCCCAGCGGTTCGACGGTGGGGTGGCCATGAGCGTGCCACTGCACTCTAGCCTGGGCGACGGAGTGAGACTCCTACTCAAAAAAAAAAAAAAGATGAAGCAGCCTTTTT